TAAATGAGTAATGCCATAAGAATAACATTTACATTATAGTTCATGAGAATGGTAAAAAAAAACATTATAGTTCATGAGAAGAGTAAAAAAAATAGTTACAAAAAAATTATTCAGTTCAGATTTGCAGGTAAAGGTTTGTTATTAAGATTTGACTTTATGTGCAAATAACAAACTGCAAAAAATACGCTTTTTTTAAAAATTTATTGATGAATTACAAAGATGCGTCTGTTTTTTCATTCTTTTAATTTAAATGTTGGAATTATTCTCCAGATATATGAAAAGAGCAGTGGGTTTGAGCATTCAGCACAAAGACAATATAAAAAAATAAAAAACAGAAGATACATCTAAATTTTTTCAGAAAAACTTGGTGTTTACAAATAACTGAAAAGAAATAAATGAGAGAAAAGAACGAATCAGATGACAGGATAGGGCTTGGATCATAACAACAAAAAAGAAGACGAGGATGCTCAAGAAACAAGAAGAAACAGTTAGAAAAAAAAAAGAAGAAAAATGAAAAAGAAAAGAGAAATGAAAAAATAAAAAATGAGTTTTTTATTCTTTTTGTCAATCATTAAGAAAAACATTAAATAAATGAGATATGTGATCTCTTATCATCTTTTTTGTCAATCTATTCTGGATAGGAAAAACAAATCCATCCAAACTTAAATATGATTACATGTAGAGAGACAAATCAAATACTAAAAGCATCTATAGAAATTCATTGCAAATGATTTTAATACTCTTTATATCATTTATTCTGGATAGGATTTATTAAACAAATCCATCCAAACTTTCATTCCCTCTAATGATTACATGTAGAGAGACAAATCAAATACTAAAAAGCATCTATAGAAATTCATTGCAAATGATTTTAATACTAACTCTTTAATTATTAAAAATCCATCCAAACTTTTTTCCTCTAATGATTACATGTAGAGAGACAAATCAAATAAAAAGCATCTATTCTGCAAATGATTTTAGGATAGGATTTATTAAACAAATCCATCCAAACTTTCATTCCTCTAATGATTACATGTAGAGACAAATCAAATACTAAAAGCATCTATAGAAATTCATTGCAAATGATTTTATCTATATTCTGGATAAAAACAAATCCATCCAAACTCATTCCTTTACATGTAGAGAGACAAATCAAATACTAAAAGATAGAAATTTTGCAAATGATTTTAATACTAACTCTTTATATAATTTATTCTGGATAGGATTTATTAAACAAATCCATCCAAACTTTCATTCCCTCTATGATTACATGTAGAGAGACAAATCAAATACTAAAAGCATCTATAGAAATTCATTGCAAATGATTTTAAAACTAACTCTTTATACAACCTATTCTGATAGGATTTATTAAACAAATCCATCCAAACTTTCATTCCCTCTAATGATTACATGTAGAGAGACAAATCAAATACATCTAAAGAAATTCATCAAATGATTTTAATACTTTATATAACTTATTCTGATAGGATTTATTAAACAAATCCATCCAAACTTTCATTCCTCTAATGATTACATGAGAGAGACAAATCAAATACTAAAAGTATCTATAGAAATTCATTGCTGATTTTAATACTAACTATTCTGGATTTTGATTTATTTAAAACAAATCCATCCAAACTTTCATTCCTCTAATGATTACATGTAGAGAGACAAATCAAATACTAAAAGCATCTATAGAAATTCATTGCAAAATGATTTTAATACTTTTTATATAACCTATTCTGGATAGGATTTATTAAACAAATCCATCCAAACTTTCATTCCCTCTAATGATTACATGTAGAGAGACAAATCAAATACTAAAAGCATCTATAGAAATTCATTGCAAATGATTTTAATACTAACTCTTTATACAACTTATTCTGGATAGGATTTATTAAACAAATCCATCCAAACTTTCATTCCCTCTAATGATTACATGTAGAGAGACAAATCAAATACTAAAAGCATCTATAGAAATTCATTGAAATTTTTACAACTGTTTATATTAACCTATTTTGATAGGATTTATTAAACAAATCCATCCAAACTTTTCAAATGATTACATGTAAATTCTGGATAAAAACAACCATCCATTTTAAATATAAAAAAGCATCTATAGAAATTCATTAAAATGATTTTAATCCATAGAAATTCATTCTGATAAATGATTTTATTCTCTCTATATTACATGTAGAGAGACAAATAACTCTTAGAAATATTGCAAATGATTTTAATACTTTATATTCTGGATAGGATTTATTAAACAAATCCATAAACAAATTACATGTAGAGAGACATCAAATACAAAAGCTCTATAGAAATTCATTCAAATGATTTTTAATACCCCTAATGATTACATGTAACAAATCCATCCAAACTTTCACAAATGATTACATGTAGAGAGACACAAAAGCAAGCATCTATAGAAATTCATTGCAAATGATTTTAATACTAACTTTATATAACTTATTCTGGATAGGATTTATTAAACAAATCCATCCAAACTTTCATTCCCCTAATGATTACATGTAGAGAGACAAATCAAATACTAAAAGCATCTATAGAAATTCATTGCAAATGATTTTAATACTAACTCTTTATATAAACCTATTCTGGATAGGATTTATTAAACAAATCCATCCAAACTTTCATTCCCTACTAATGATTACATGTAGAGAGACAAATCAAATACTAAAAGCATCTATAGAAATTCATTGCAAATGATTTTAATACTAACTCTTTATAAACCTATTCTGGATAGGATTTATTAAACAAATCCATCCAAACTTTCATTCCCTAATGATTACATGTAGAGAGACAAATCAAATACTAAAAGCATCTATAGAAATTCATTGCAAATGATTTTAATACTAACTTTTATATAACTTATTCTGGATAGGATTTATTAAACAAATCCATCCAAACTTTCATTCCCTCTAATGATTACATGTAGAGAGACAAATCAAATACTAAAAGCATCTATAGAAATTCATTGCAAATGATTTTAATACTCTTTATATAAACCTATTCTGATAGGATTTATTAAACAAATCCATCCAAACTTTCATTCCTCTAATGATTACATGTAGAGAGACAAATCAAATACTAAAAGAAATTCATTTTAATAGAAATAACTCATTCTGGATAGATTTATTAAACAAATCCATCCAAATGATTTTAATGATTACATGTAGAGAGACAAATAAATACTAAAAGCATCTATTTAAATGATTTTAATAAACCTATTTTATTCTGATAGGATTTATTAAACAAATCCATCCAAACTTTCATTCCCTCTAATGATTACATGTAGAGAGACAAATCAAATACTAAAAGCATCTATAGAAATTCATTGCAAATGATTTTAATACTAACTCTTTATACAACCTATTTTGGATAGGATTTATTAAACAAATCCATCCAAACTTTCATTCCTTCTAATGATTACATGTAGAGAGACAAATCAAATACTAAAAGCATCTATAGAAATTCATTGCAAATGAAATACTAAAAATATAACCTTATTTGCATCTATCCATTTCATTCCTCTAAATTACATTGAGAGACAAATGAAATTTTAAAAGCACTTCATTGAAATGATTTAATATAACTTTTCATTCTGGATAGGATTTAAATAAACAAATCTATCCAAATGATTTCATTCTCTTTAATGATTACATGTAAAGAGACAAATCAAATACTAAAAGCATCTATAGAAATTCATTGCAAATGATTTTAATACTCTTTATATAACTTATTCTGGATAGGATTTATTAAACAAATCCATCCAAACTTTCATTCCCTCTAATGATTACATGTAGAGAGACACATCAAATACTAAAAGCATCTATAGAAATTCATTGCAAATGATTTTAATACTCTTTATATAACTTATTCTGGATAGGATTTATTAAACAAATCCATCCAAACATTTCATTCCTCTAATGATTACATGTAGAGAGACAAATCAAATACTAAAAGCATCTATAGAAATTCATTGCAAATGATTTTAATACTAACTCTTTATACAACTTATTCTGGATAGGATTTATTAAACAAATCCATCCAAACTTTCATTCCCTCTAATGATTACATGTAGAGAGACAAATCAAATACTAAAAGCATCTATAGAAATTCATTGCAAATGATTTTAATACTAACTCTTTATACAACCTATTTTGGATAGGATTTATTAAACAAATCCATCCAAACTTTCATTCCCTCTAATGATTACATGTAGAGAGACAAATCAAATACTAAAAGCATCTATAGAAATTCATTGCAAATGATTTTAATACTCTTTATATAACTTATTCTGGATAGGATTTATTAAACAAATCCATCCAAACTTTCATTCCCTCTAATGATTACATGTAGAGAGACAAATCAAATACTAAAAGCATCTATAGAAATTCATTGCAAATGATTTTAATACTAACTCTTTATACAACCTATTCTGGATAGGATTTATTAAACAAATCCATCCAAACTTTCATTCCCTCTAATGATTACATGTAGAGAGACAAATCAAATACTAAAAGCATCTATAGAAATTCATTGCAAATGATTTTAATACTAACTCTTTATACATCCGATTCTGGATAGGATTTATTAAAAAAATACCTCAAAACTTTATATATTAAACTTCATACTGAAATAGATACCTAATGATTTTTATAATATAAATTCATATCAACCAATTTTATGGTAAAAATAAATTGAAAATCAGAATGAAAACAAGTGTAGCGTTACTGCCAAAACAGGATTCTATTATTCATTATATAAATGTTTTATTAATGATTTTTGTAGAACTACTTATATATATTGGTCCAGTTGTAAATACTAGGGAAACATTTGATGGGAACAATTTTTGTAGATTAGCATTCCTTAGCTCTTTCTCAAACCATAACATTTGTCTAAATCAAAAAAAAATATTAATTTCTATCAATTTAGAAGTGGGTGTCCTGTTCATAATGCAAGTACAATATAAAAGCAATCCCTCTCTTTTTACAGACTTATTTGAATTTGTGATATTATTGGAAGCCTATGCACAAACATTGGATGATAAAAAGTATTTATTTATACATTTATTTGTTCTTTAATTAAAAGGAATATTTTTTTTGAAAATGTAAAATAATTTTCCAACCCTGCAAACAATTGCTTGTTTAAAATAGATATATATCCATTTGTAATACACTTAAAGATATACATATCTGTTTGTATTCTAATGATAGAAATCGTTTTGTAGAATTTTATTTTAAAAAATCTATATCACCAGACAAAAAACTATGATTGCTTGTTTAAAATTTTTAAAAATAAAACATATAAAAATGTATATATATCAATTTGTTTTGTTTTTTTAAATCAATTCACCCCAAGCAAAGTGATAATGCCACTAAGACACAAAAGGCTACTGGGAATGAAAGAGAATGAGAAGACTTTACAAGGAGCTTCAAAACCCAATTCTAAACACGAAACAAGTGTCTACTCCTGTTCAAAAAACTGGGCAAATGTGAAAACCAGATATTAGGCAAATCTATCTTCTCCTATTTAAAGGAAATCTTCATCTAAAAAAAAGGTCTGCTTTTGTCAGCAGATATCAATGACATAAATGCAGTTCCCAATAATTCATTAAAAAGTCAGGGTTTGATTTTAAACTATATTCATATTATGAACAGGACACTCTTTTCTAAAATGATAAAAAACAATCAATATTTTTTTTATTCCGAGAATTACCATGCCTAGAGAAAGAGTTAATGAATGCTAATTTACAAAACTTATTTCCAAAATAGTTTTTTCCTATTTTTTATAAGTGGACCAGTTTACTTAAGCAGTACCATTAATGAATATAGCACTTTACTTTAATGCTATTTATAAGTGGACCAGTTTACTTAAGTAGTGCCGATTATGAGTGGAACAGTTTATTTAAGTAGAGCCAATTATGGGTGGACCAGTTTATTTAAGTAGAGCCAATTATGGGTGGACCAGTTTACTTAAGTAGTACCATTAATGAATATAGACCAGTTTGCTTTAAGTAGTTTACTTCAGTAGTGCAATTAATGAATATAGGTTTAGTGCTAATGATAAGTTTACTTCAGTAGTTCCAATTAGTACAAGTTTATTAAGTATGATTAATGAATATAGCACTTTACTGTGCTATTTATAAGTGGACAAGTTTACTTAAGTAGTGCCATTAATGAATATAGCACTTTACTGTGCTATTTATATAACAAGTTTACTTAAGAAAACAAGTTTACTTCAGTAGTGCCATTAATGAATATAGCACTTTATTTTAGTGCTAATGATAAATGAATGGACTTTACTGTTTATTTAACAAGTTTAGTTCCAATTAATGAATATAGCACTTTACTGTGCTATTTATAAGTGGACAAGTTTACTTAAGTAGTGCCATTAATGAATATAGCACTTTACTGTGCTATTTATAAGTGGACAAGTTTACTTAAGTAGTGCCATTAATGAATATAGCACTTTACTGTGCTATTTATAAGTGGACAAGTTTACTTAAGTAGTGCCATTAATGAATATAGCACTTTACTGTGCTATTTATAAGTGGACAAGTTTACTTAAGTAGTGCCATTGGTGAATGAACCAGTATAATTAAGTAGTGACTTTTATGAGTAGACCAGTTTACATAAATACTACAATTTATAAATGGACCAGTTTAGTTAAACAGTGCCATTTACAAGTGCACCAGTTTACTTAAGTAATGCCTTTTATGAGTAGACCCGTTTACTCAAGTAATAGCATTTTTCTCATGGAAATGCATTGCAAATGGGAAAGAAAGTATTATCTGTGAACAGGAATTAATAAAAATATTTCTTGCAAACAAAATATGGCTGTTATGTATACAATTTTTTGATAGCCTGAATCCACTTGTTTTAATTGAAAGAAAAACTTTCAGTTAGATGACAAAAGTAAGGAAATTTAATATTGAAACTGTCAATCATCAACGTTTTGTTTGGATGAAATGAAAGTGAAATGCTATTTTCTATGCTGGCTTCTCAATTTTGACACAGCAACTAATATACAATGTTTTTTTTATCAAGTCCATCCTGATAGATAAAATTACTAGTCTCAACAACACATAAACATAGACTCAATTGGCTGATGGCCTTTTATTTCAATGTTTTGTCCTTTTTTTAAGCATTGAAATGTTAGAATTTAGGTTTTCCAAAAAAAGAAAAAAAAAACATGAGAAACCTTAAATTCTCTATCTGACAAGAATTGTCTTTACTGAGTAAATGCTGTTATATTTCAGAGTCTGGAACTTAAACCATGAAATAACTTTTACAAAGTGATGGTCTGTAACCTTATGGGATGAAAGGTGTAATTTTTCAATTATTTCAACAGCAGATTAAAACCCCTGCCACTGATAAAAAATTTAAATTAAAATAAAATTCTTTGTAATTTTTTGATTCTGTTATTGTACCGAGAAGCATGGTGGAGTAATGGATAATATCTCGGATTGAGGAATCGGAGAGCCGAGTTCGAATTCCAGTTGAACCATTACATTCACTTATGTGCTAATACCCTTGGGAAAGGTAAGAATCTTCTTCTTCTCTCTCCCAGCTATGTGTAAATAGCAGGACTGACCGGGTTCTATAGCCTTGGATAGCAACTGGTCTACCGCAGAAAGAAATGGCAACCTACTGTGGGAAAAAAACTGCCTTGTCAGTCATATATCGACAGATACATGATTGCCTAAGTTTGTATCATGCATGGCACATAACTGACTGATATTTACTTACATGCTAACACCCTTGGAAAATGTATGGATCCTCTCCTCCCCACCACAGCTATGGGTAAATAGCAGGACAGGCTGGGTTCTATAGCCTTGGATGGCAAATGGTCTACTGCAGAAAGAAATGACAACCTACTGCAGGAAAAAAAAAAACAGCCTCGTCAGTCATGTATCAACAGATACATGATTGCCTAAGTGTGTATCACGCATGGCACATAACTGACTGACCCAGAAGATTACATAATACATATTTTCTAATTTTACAGTAACAAAGTCTATAGGATCGACCTCCTATGTCATTCATAAAAGCCCTAAATCACAGGCTTCAAATGTAATAATACAACAACGCATTCTGATTGGTTGAAAAATATCAATTACGTGTTGTCAACTTCAGCCAAATGTACCGACCCAATTTTTGACCCAAGCAAAAATATATTTGCACCCAAAATTTTGGAGCCTACCATGTAATGCATATTGTGTATATTAATGACACGAAATTCAGAATTCTGGTAAAAAGGATTCCAGTCAAGAGCTATACAGCACATGATGATTTCAGATTATACGTTAAAATTCTTTTAGCATTAAAACAGTTTGCATCTCTTTTTTGCGATGCAAGCAAACTAAAGCCAACAAACATCAAAGAAAAACAATCAAGTCAAAAACACAAAGTAAGCACATTTCATTCACTCACTCACTCACTCACTGAAACCACTTTTTCAAAACCTTAAACTGTTTATTTTCAACACAAACAGAATTATACTTAATTGTACTTTCTCATTTTTACACCCCACAACTCTAAATCTGCCAAACCAGAACTTTACTCAAACTTAAATCTTGAAAGACAAGCACACTTGAACTTTTTTAAACAACTTCTTTAACATTTGTTTGTAACTTTATAAATATATAATATATTATATTGTAATAAAATTTATTTATTGTTATACAAATTACTTTTGTCGTAAATATCATTGTTCTCTTGTAGTTCTTTATTTTGTATTACATTTGTGCTAATATAAATGCAATAGGATTATTAGACCCCTACAGGTACATAACCCCTACAAATCTGAGAGATTCCAAACAATAAAGAGATTTTAGTACAAAATAAGTCATCAGGTATATTTGCCCATGATGTGCAATGCATAAATGAATACCTCTCTGGCTTTCAACCCAGATATGTAGAGGGAACAATTCAGGTGCTCAGCTGATGATGATAAAATGGAGAAATATCTCAGCTTGTAACCTGATCCATTAAATAACTGTTAGAAACTGACAATCTGCATGTAAACCTATGGAATAAAATACACAATTTGTCAGTAATTTAGTATCTGTCTATATTTCTGAGATGAGGTATTATGTACACTATTTACATTGCTCGGACTATCATCCTCATCTTTGTTGCCATATTTATCACAATGTTTCGACTGTTGTATGCTTCGGCTTTCTTCAGGTGGTTGGAATGTCAAACTGAACCCTTTATTTTGCTTGCTGGGATAGACTATTCTAGTTCCACATGCCATGTCTAATGGATACCAGTTATCTCCTGTTAATTCCCCTCTCCAAGTTGTCCACCACATTAATCAGGTATTGAATTGTCCCTGGATCTAGCTAAAGCCTTTATCCACTGTGCCATGTATCCTCAAAGACACATGGCACAGTGGATTCAATACTTGGTTAAGGTGGTGGAGAACTTAGAGAGGTGAATTAACAGGAGATAACTGATAACTGACATCCATTAGGCATGGCATGTGGAAGTCGAACGGTCTATCCCAGCGAGCAAAATAAAGGGTTCAGCTTGACATTCCAACAACCAGAGTGTACAACGACCAAAACATTGTGATAAGTATGGCAACAAAGATGAGGATGATAGTCTGAGCAATGTAAATGTTGTCAGTAATTTAATCATCAAAATAAGTCCTTCCCTGAACACTTTAATTTTGACTTCTTAAAGTTGAGAGTCATCTATCCTACTTATCTTCATAATTGTTACTTGCTATCACTTTTAATTTCATTCATATCACACATCTCATTCATCATTACTATTTTAACTGTAATCCTCTACCTTGGGTTGCTCTCAAGCCTTGTATCTGGCGAAATTTAATAAAAAAAACATGCTTAATACATGTCTTAAAAATAGATTAACTTCATTGTTTCAATTTACCCAGCCACACACAGATCCATTAATGGTTATCTTATATTTGCTCTGTTAATTACTCCTTTGATCTACATTTCTCAATATCTCTTAACCTTATGGTGGCACAAGTCAACAAGAAAGATATCTTTAAAAAATTAAGTTTAGTTTAGCAAAATGCCACAAGTATAACATCACCAGTAGCAATGGGTGGCAAGCCTAGCTTACAAACCATTGCTTCATAGCAAGATTATCTTTAGAAACTTATTTTGGTACAAGGCCAGAAATGTGAAGTAATTTACTTAGGAGAAATGGTGTTTGAAACTGGTTGCTTCCCAGAAAGAATATGGAGAGCCTTTACCATCAGCAACCAATCTATCTCTTTTCTTCAATAGCTAATTTCCAGACTTTCATCCCAGACCATCTGCAACCAATTTGCCTCTTTTCTTCAACAGCTAATTTCCAGACTTTCCTTCTAATTTGCCTCTTTTCTTCAATAGCTAATTTCCAGAAATTCCTCCCAGACCATCTGCAACCAATTTGCCTCTTTTCTTCAACAGCTAATTTCCAGACTTTCATCCCAGACCATCTGCAACCAATTTGCCTCTTTTCTTCAACAGCTAATTTCCAGACTTTCCTTCTAATTTGCCTCTTTTCTTCAATAGCTAATTTCCAGAAATTCCTCCCAGACCATCTGCAACCAATTTGCCTCTTTTCTTCAACAGCTAATTTCCAGACTTTCATCCCAGACCATCTGCAACCAATTTGCCTCTTTTCTTCAACAGCTAATTTCCAGACTTTCCTTCTAATTTGCCTCTTTTCTTCAATAGCTAATATCCAGAAATTCCTCCCAGACCATCTGCAACCAATTTGCCTCTTTTCTTCAATAGCTAATATCCAGAAATTCCTCCCAGACCATCTGCAACCAATTTGCCTCTTTTCTTCAACAGCTAATTTCCAGATTTTCCTTCCAATTTGCCTCTTTTCTTCAATAGCTAATATCCAGAAATTCCTCCCAGACCTTCTGCAACCAATTTGCCTCTTTTCTTCAATAGCTAATTTCCAGAAATTCCTCCCAGACCATCTGCAACCAATTTGCCTCTTTTCTTCAATAGCTAATTTCCAGAAATTCCTCCCAGACCATCTGCAACCAATTTGCATCTTTTCTTCAACAGCTAATTTCCAGATTTTCCTTCCAATTTGCCGCTTTTCTTCAATAGCTAATATCCAGAAATTCCTCCCAGACCATCTGCAACCAATTTGCCTCTTTTCTTCAATAGCTAATATCCAGAAATTCCTCCCAGACCATCTGCAACCAATTTGCCTCTTTTCTTCAACAGTAAATTTCCAGACTTTCATCCCAGACCATCTGCAACCAATTTGCCTCTTTTCTTCAACAGCTAATTTCCAGACTTTCCTTCCAATTTGCCTCTTTTCTTCAATAGCTAATTTCCAGAAATTCCTTCCAGACCATCTGCAACCAATTTGCCTCTTTTCTTCAATAGCTAATTTCCAAATTTTCTTCCCAGATCATCCTCAACTTAACCTGTTCTAAAATGTACCATTTGACTGAGTTCATAGCAATAATTTTGCTTGGCTAAGAAAAATTTGGGGTGGCCATCATGCATTTTAACCTTTATAGAAATGCCTCAATAGGACTTTAAATATGTTTATTTTATTTTTAAAAACTTTTATTTGCCCCTGGGGCCCAAATTGTCATCCTTCTTTACTCCGTTCCTCTTTCCTTCATTTATTAGTTCATTAACACTAATGAAGAAATGACACTATTTCCTTAGATTTTACCTGTAGGACATTATCCATTAATTCATTAGTGCTTAACATTTTTTTGCAGGCATTTATCACGCTTAATGATTTTTGTAACTGAGAGACAAAATTGGTATGGAGTAAGAGACCATTACAAAAATGTCTCCCATCAAGTTTCAAATATTGGTCTGCAGAGAATTTTGAGTCATTTTGTCAAATTTTCTTAATTTTTTAAATTAAAAGCAAGCAAAATATGTTTGTGACCGTTATTTGTACAGTCAATGTTTAAATAATGTCACATTGCAAATATGCTAATTTTTTTTTTTCAAAAGACATTTGGAGTTACATCTGAAGGTTGATTACAAAATAGTGTCCTTGTCTTAACCTTTAAAAAATCAGTACAAAAAATGAGGTTTTTTTTTAATGAAAATATGAGAGCAGAATCAGGTCATTAAAAAAATAATTCTAATTTAGTATTCATAGTAATTTTAAAAACTAATTTACCATGATGGGGGAGACTCAGTCTGTTAGGATGTTAATCTTCATGTAGCCTTGAAACCTGGTCATTTATTAACATGTAGTTTTTCAAAGGAAGCTTAGAACTACTGAACATGTGTTTGAGGCTAATACTCTTCACACATGTACTGAATCATTTCAGATGTTACCAACTGACACAATTTGTAGATGACTGGCTGTAGAACTAAACTCAATATGGCAATAATAGTCTGTGAAACTTGCTTGTTGACCATCACAGCAAGATGTGAAAATGTGTTTGATGCAATCCTTTTCAGGTGAAGAATTTTTCATTTTTAACAAAATTTTATTTTTAATTAAAAACCAAACAAACATAGACACCTTTAATTAAAGAATAAAACATATGACTTAATAAACATTTATAACCATTTAGTCTTCATTCAACATAAACATTAATTATCCTCTAAGGTCTGTTTTCAAAATAATCACCATGTTTAGATAATTATGTAAAAAGTCGGGGACTGATTTGAAACTGCATTTATATTATGAACAGGATCACCTCTTTGGAAGCAATAAAACACGAATACTTTTTGATTCTTTTAAATGTGCTTTGAAAAAGGTCTGATGAATGCTGATCTCTAAAAATTAATCCTTTCCCCAAATTTTTCCCTATTTTTAACAAGTGGACCAGTCTATTTAAGTAATGCTTCTCTCTAATTTTTTTGAGTGGACCAACCTATTTAAGTAATATTGATCTAATAATGTATAAAATACAACAATTGTAGCATAAGGCCTAAAAGGGGAAATGAGTTGAGGCTGGTCAATACTATCTTATACCTAGCTAATCAGATTCATGACCCTTTCATTCATTACAATTTGCACATCCATCACAAAAGCTTGTCCGTTGTCATTCAATCCGACATAAACCACAATACCATACACACACAGGGAACCTACTAAACACCCATGAGACAAAAATTCTTGAGTATACAATTATATATAAAAATTTCATGATGGTAAGCAATGAAGGAGGGGGGGTGAACCCAAAAATAAATTAAAATATAATAAAAGACACAAACTAAAAATAACTGATGTTAGTATTTAACTAATGACTTTCTCTATATTTTAATGAGTGGACCAGCTTATTTAAGTAATGACTTTCTCTATGTTTTAATGAGTGGACCAGCCTATTCAAGTAATGACTTTCTCTATGTTTTAATGAGTGGACCAGCCTATTTAAGTAATGACTTTCTCTATGTTTTAATGAGTGGACCAGCCTATTCAAGTAATGACTTTCTCTATGTTTTAATGAGTGGACCAGCCTATTCAAGTAATGACTTTCTCTATGTTTTAATGAGTGGACCAGCCTATTTAAGTAATGACTTTCTCTATGTTTTAATGAGTGGACCAGCCTATTCAAGTAATGACTTTCTGTATTTTTTTATGAGTGGACCAGTCTATTTAAGTAATGACTTTCTCTATTTCTTTACAAGTGGATCAGTATATTTAAGTAGTGCCTTAAACAGAATGTCATTTTAAACTGACTGAAACCTTACATCAAGATCCGTTAAGTATTCTACTTGCTTCAGCTTGCTTCCTTCTATTGTCAGCATTCCACACTATTTCAAACAAAAGGTTAGGAAGGAAACCCTCATCAATAGTGGAAGAGTGTTAACAGTGAACAGGAAAAACCTGTTTTCCTGAAAAATTGTTTTAAGAAAAAGATTTTATAAATTTCAACCAATAACAATACTGACTGCTGGGTCAATGAATACAGAATGTTTTCTTAGGAGGAAATGGCTAATATTGCTATATATATTCACAGTCAAAATTATGTTGATGTTTATACAGAGTCTTTATAGCTTCAATTTCTATGGAGTTGAAAATTTAAAACCATTTCTGAGGAAAAATTTTTTTTATTTAAAAACAAAAATGTATATAAATCATCATAATAAATATATTTAGTAAAAGAAGCCCAGTTCATCCTTGTGTTATTTCTGCTTTCGCTATATAAAGACCGTTATTTTCAATTACATAAAGGCTTTTGCCTGACTTCGAACAAAGATAAAAAGAAATTGTATTTTTTTTCTCGCTTGTTGTAGATTTAAAATCAAAATAGAAATAAATATAGGAACACTTGCACATGAAGTTCAGTTCAGAAAACATTGAATGGGGAAAGGAAAAATAAAAGTAAATGATTCTCATGAGATTCTGAGGTTTTCATTTTAAAACATTTTCTCTCTTTTTAAATTGCTTTCCAGAATTAGTATATAAATATCCGAAAGTATACACACTAAGGCATTATCTATTTATTTTTAATTGATGTTAGTAAAAGACACAAACACACACATTTATGTGTGTAAGTGCATGTACATACTTAATATACATATATACCTTCCCATATCTATATATAAGTTTATTCAAAAGAAATATCTACAATTTTCAAAAGAATCAACTTTATTGTCCAATATTAAGATAATTATAGTTCTTTTCTAAAATTAAAAACTTGCAAAACGTACTCATATACCTAAAGAAAACGATCTTAAATATATATATATATATATATATATATATATATATATATATATATACATGAATTATTCATACAAAACTAATGCAAAGGTTAATGATTTAAATGGCGAGACATCCATCTTGCAAACGATTCAAATAGTACACAAAAACCTCTAAATCCGTTATGCATGAGTTGATCCTTGTTTATATAAATTTCTGCCGTATTAGTTGTTATTTTTTTACTACAAGCTTTTGTCTGTTCCTACAGACATCGTCAGGTATATAATAGATGTTGTTCTGGTTTTTCTCTTAGTAATAAGAGGACATCGAAAATATATGTATTGTATCCAAATGCTAT